TTAAAATTTCGTGAAAAATCGCTGTTGAATTAAAATGTGAGGTTATTAAATGAAGGGATATGCTTTATTTTCATGAAAAGAAGTTATTGAAGAGAGTAACTTTTAAAGACTTTTTATGCTTTATGACGTTGTCGTCATATTCTGAAAAGAGAGCTTGATTATCAGTATTGTTGTGTAATGGATGCCGGTATGTAAATGGGTGAAATTGTTTTTGCATACCTCCTCCACCTATTTAACTCTTTTTTCTTTTTTTTTGTCTATTAACATTTCCTAGATGCTTGAGCGACTTTCAACGCTTTAGGGTCGTTCAAATATTACGTAAAAATGTTTTTAGCGTTTTGCAAATTTTGTCATAGAAAATTAGTGTATATCTGAATAACCCCTTGCCTACCTACGATTTTCTTCTTTTTCTCTTTTTTTATGATGTATATTTTCTTCTGAAATTTAATTGTTTATCAATCCACTAGGGAATTTATTCCGACAAAGGGCATTCTCACACTCCCCTTTCCCTGTTTAAATAAAAAATCTTCAAAAATGTAGAGAATTTCAGCTTTTAAGTTCAATAAGTTTTGAACTAATAATGTGCTGTCCTGTGTAAAATTTCCAGACTTTTGTGGTGTAAAATTGTAATTCTCTCGTAATTATGAAAGGAAAAAAAAAACAGTTATAAATTCTATTTAATTCAGTAACTCAGTTTATTACGTAAATTTATCATTTAATTCCTAATAAATTCATAACTTATAATAAATTCATTATAAATTCCGTACAATAATAATGATAAATTCATTAATAATTATAATAAATTCAATTATAATAAAAATAATAAACAATAATCATAATAAATTATAAATAAATAATTTTAAAATAATAAATAATAGCCAATTATAATGCATTTATTTAATAAATATGATTAAATTTTAATGAATTCCTAACTTATAATAAATTGATAAATTCAAGATCATTATGATCTAAAGACATAATTTCTTAGAACAAGTTTGCAAAATATATTTGAATAACTACCATTTTTTTAAAATACATAATGAGTTATTATAATGATCATCAAACTGCTATTTTTTTAAAATTAAATTTATGTTTAAATACAAAAATGCAAGGTACCATTCTAAGGACTCAGACTAGTGGAAAGTATTTAGGTTTTATTTTAAGCGTCCCATGTAAATTTCAAAGCTTAGTCACGTTTTCCTCACTAAATAACTCTACTACATTTTTTTGAAAAAACAAATTGCAGGTCAAACGCAGCGTGAGAATTTGGAAAAAATAACTCAGGTTGAAAATTTTTTTTGCTCCAAAAAATATAGGTTTCACGGTGAAAATTCGTGAAGTTTAATTTTTTATTGTCCTCTGTTGTTTTAAAAAATCAGTCACGCTTCTCTGGATAAAACAACATTATGACGTTTTTTCTTTCTTAAAGTTTAGAAATTCAATGCAAAGTGTATGCCACCATTTTAGAGAGACTCTCGTAAAAATTGTTCATGTTCTAAAAATACAGGTTTTGTGGTTCAAATTTCGAAAGTTAAGTTTTTAATTGCCCCTTATTGCGTTAAAAATCTGGCAGAGTTCATTTCACCAAACTCTTTATTTTAATACTGGTTTCTAAAATGAAATCTACTATCAAATGTTATGTGCAAAGCATCATTCTAAAGATTAGCATTCATAAAAATTACTTATGATCTAAAAATATAGATTTCTAGTTAATTTTGTAAGTGTCTCTAGTAACGATGGAGAATTTATAAAATTTTCTGCTACAAAACCTAAAATTATAACTCATTTTGCATTAAAACTATCAAATCATTGCCCAATCGTTCCTATCGGAGGAAATACTTGTATTTTATTGTCATTAAAAACTTGATTATTCTGTCGGTCAAAAAGTTAATTGGAGTTCATATTTAGCACTATTATAACTTAAAATTATTATATTTGTACAACTCTTTGTATTAGGGTTCCTGACAAAACGAGCTTCAGAAAGCTGGCTAAAAGGGTCAAAAACCTAGGACTATGGTCACAAGCACAAGATTTATAATTCATGTCAAGGTTTTTTTTTAATATCAAAGCATTAAAATTGTATGCAAATACATACCAATATATAAATACTAATAAATAAATACATAAATTACAATAATTATATTAATTTAGAAATTAGTTTTAAGCAAAGGGAAAAAATTTCACTTCGTATTCGTGGTCTTTTATCGATTTATTTTATTTAAGAGCTCTTATCTTTTCAAAAAAAAATATTTTAATGAACTCTATGAATTCAAAAATACAGTGATATTATAGTTCGTTTAGATACTATTAACATTAATTTAGTTTTTTTTTATATTCGGTCTTATAATGCACAAGATTTTTTTTCTGTAAAATTTGAAGCTTTACATCTGCATAAAATTCAAATTAGTTAGTAGAAAAATATTTGACATTTGAAAATAATATAATACAAAAAGATTTTGAAGAGTTTATACTTACAGTAATTAAACTTTTAAACTTAATTTTGTTGTAGGTCTTTTTATAGAAAGGAATGATGGCAAAGAAAATTATTTGAAAGATTAAAACTCTTTTTCTATTGTTAGTTTGTCATCTTTTTTACAACTATAGCTTAACCAGCAGATCTTTTGTTAGTATATAATGGTTTAAATTTGAAGTACATGTTTGTGTAAATATTTTTTTTCAAAACTTATTTTTCATTTCATGTTAAGTTGTATAAGAAAATTAATATATTTAATCTATGACATTCACCACTAAGTGCACAACGCTGCTTACAATTTTAATATTTATGCTAATACTTAAATGTACTTCTTTTTTTCGATTTTTGATAGTTTTTGAAACAGGTTTTTAACTTAAATCTTTTGACTTTTTTGTACACGATTAAAATTATCAAAAAGTAGCACATGTCAAAAACTCGTCAAATCTGACTCTTAAATAAAGAATGAAAATCATGTCTTTTCAATAAGGTTCACTAAACTATTCTGCGTAATTACTTATAACGTATGTAAAAAATTGACGCTATTAGTACCTTTCGGTCTAAAGAGATTTGTAGTGATTGAGTTTAAAAATACAGTTTTCTCACACTTTTTGAACAGGTAAAAAAAAAAACTATAACTACAGAGCTAATTTTATTATACTTAAGAAAGCAATAAAATATTTTAAGCTCAGTTGCTCCTCCATTATAGAATATATTCTTTTCCTCCCAAAATCATTAAAATCAAAGGTTAAAAATCTCATCTTTAGTTTGATGATGTTATCTTACATCCGCATTGAAAAGTAATCCGTGCGGATTCTCTTTTCTACAGCTTCACAAAATACCACTTTCAAAATTCTGAGATTTAATTATTTAAAGTAAAATATATTGGATGTAGTAAATTTGAAAAATATTTCAACATATGACATGACAATCAACTATATACTAGGTGCAATTAAGTCAGTCTCAGTTTAAAAATAAATAGATTAGCAGGGGAAAAATGAGATTTTTTTTTTAATGGATTTGGGTGACAATGCTTCCCGAGTTTACCCAGAGATAACATTTTGCTCCGGACAACAGATTAATATTTTCGAATCGTAGTTTCGATGTATGATTCTTGGTAAATTAAATTTATAGGGTCTTTTTTCACCACTACATCTAAATAATGTAAAGGATTATGTGATTAGAAACTCTTTTACTACGGTAAAAACGGGTTGAGCCTTTTTAAAATTTGGCAACCGAAAATCGGTAAATTTTAGTTTGTAATTCTCTACCGTTTTTTAAAATATTTTCTGAAATCTGGAGCAGTTGACATCTCTGGCTTATCAGTAAAAAATTGTACACAAAATTT